TTTTTGGATTATGAATTGAATTGAATTTACTAGACACACAGAAACGTGATGGCAGAGGTATGTGGATGTTGTTTAATGCTGTTCAGTGTTTTAAGAGGGGGAATTAGGAATGATTTTTCTTTTACCTGGTACAGTATATTATTCTCTTATTGATATTTCTCTTCTATATTATGTGTGTCCATACCATCATAAAATTAAGATACTATTTTTACCACAACGTACGTATTGTCGGAAAAAGGGTAGTCTGATATATATATATATATATATATATATATAATATTGTGTATATATATATATATATATATATATATATATATATATATATATATATATATATATATATATATATATATATATATATATATATATATATATATATATACAAAACAGAGCTACATGATTTTTTTTAGCGCCACAACCGTAACTCTGCTAAAATAGTTGCGCCACAAGCGAAACCTCAACACGCAACTTAAAAAAAATAAACAAATACTAAAATCTTTTTTTTTGCCTATTTACAAGTAAAACAAAATATATTTGATACAAAAAATTTAATATTATCAACAATTTATTACATTATTACAAGAAAATGCCTCACTGCCACTGGCCTCTGTCTCAGTGGACTGGCTGTCAACAGTCTCAGTCACTTCAACTTCCGTGTCCATGTCCTGGTCGGCAGGATCACTGCTGCCGGCCACAGACTCCTTCCTCCTCGTCACAAAACGATCCATAATACTAGTAATAACAAGAAACAAAACAACAAGAAACTGGCGCCTTAACTGCAGTGCTACTGACTGCCTGACTGGTTATGTGCATGAATCATTCCTCCCTTGCCTTCCCTAGCTGTAGTTGCCAGATTTCATCTTTCACATTAATTCTAGTTTCTAGAGTTTATGTGAAAGATGAAATCTGGCAACTACAGCGAGGGAAGGGGAGCGACGGGGGGAGGGGGGGGGTCTCATCTGGCTTAGGGTTCAGAAATATGCTGCCCGACCTGTATCATGTGTATGCTGAATCATTCCGTCAGAAACAGAAATTTTTGTAATGTGAGGCTCTAGGGATGCCCGTTTGTTTATGCGGTCGTATTCCAATTTTCAATTATTGCCGAAAAAATTTGCGCGTTGTGCTTGAAAATGCTTGTAAAAGTTGTGCAGCAACTCTCTGGAAAAATGTGCGGCGCAACTACAAGCGCAACCACAAAAATTGTGGCACAAGTTGTGCCACAACTTTTTGTAGTGCAACTGCCCACCTTTGAGGTTGAGTTAGGTTAAAATACAACCCTGAATGTACAAAACATTAATATCCCATAATGTATATAACAAGAAATATAAATACAGTAGCTGTAAATCAAGTAATGTTAAACAATATACAGGCTCCTCGGCTTACAACAGGGCTCTGTCCCGACAACCAAGTCTAAGTCGAATTGGTTGTAAGTCGAAAAGGCAAAAATAATACAGTCGACCCTCGTTAATTCGGACTAATAGGGGGGGGAGGGTGTCCGTTTTAGCCGATTGTCCGAATTAACCGATTTAGGGGTTAATATCGCATTATATTTCAAAGTCATTGTTTTCGTCACGATTTTATCCCACTTTCCACTGTAATACGTAAGTAATTTCAGCAAAAATATTACATTTCCGTGAATGTATTATATCAAGCACAGTATGAATAGAATATCATTGTAATATAACAGTATTTTTACCGAAAACTATTAAAAAAACGAGTAACATCTCTTGAACATCGGAAGGTTAGGTAAAGTCTTTTGTTTTCGTCATGTATTTAATCCTATTTTACATTGAAATACATCACGTTTCAGCAGAACTACTATTTATTTCCGAGAATATATTCATTCAGGAGCAGTTTAGGTAAAATATACGTGTGATGTAACAGTTTTTTAACTGAAAACGATTCGAAAAACACGTACCCTCTAGCTGATTGATGCTCAACAGCTGGTGGTGCATCGTCGTTGTAAACAATAGGAGGTTGAAGTAGATTACGGTATTATATTCGTGTGAAATATGAAAAAAGTTTTATTACGGTATTTTTTTGTAGATCAATGAGAACTGTGATACGTATGATGTGATGCGATAAGTTAAAATATATAGAACTTAAGCATAGACTACTGAAAACCGTTGTAAGGTAATTTAACCTATTGTAAGTTGGTATTCATTTGCTGAACTGCACAACTTTTCATTACTAATTGGTACATATTTTATTTCCATTGTTTACTGGCAGTAAATGGTAATATTTTTCATGTCTGAAGCTAAAAGTTGCATCCCCCACACTAGTGGTGAAGATGTTACATTTAAAAAAGATGCTGGTGTTTTATCAGCAGTGGGTGGACCAGGATTTGCTTAAGGTCACAGGTAATATTCTAAAAAAAAAAAAAAAAAAAAAAAAAAGTTCGTTCAGATTTTGTCCGAATTATCCGAAATCCGGATTAAAGGGGTCCGAATTAACGAGGGTCGACTGTACATAGAAATTCTAAGATGGGTGTCTCTTTTTCTTCTCAGCACCACGAGAACTCTCACTTTTACGCTTGCCAGCCATTTTAAGGGAATTACAAACAAAAATTTTATCAGTAAGGGAGTTCTGCTATAGCGTGTTTATATAATTTCTCTAACGATTTATGAATTGAACAATATTTGTATAACGCAGCTTGTTTGCTATAAACGATTTTGCTTACTATTTCTCCAATTTTGTGGTATTAACTGTGAATATAGTAAGAAGAATATCTCCAAAAGCACTCTGATGATAGAATTCGGTGATTATCGTAAAAGGATATAACACTTGAAGCTCAATGTTATCAACCTCAAAATCACCTTCTCCCCATCAAGTTACATTCATATTTTTCAAGGTAAAGTGTTAAATTTACTGTAGATTTCATTATTAGATATGAATGTAACATTTATTTAACTGACTATCCTTGTGTTAGGCTAAATACTAAATTTTTCGATTTCGAGTAATCTACTAACCTTATTTTCTCCATAAGCCCTGTTATTTCTATTCGTTTTCTATACACGATATTTTACAAGAACACAATATGGCGTTATAGCAGAACTCCTGTACACAAGCCGATCCTACGCATTGGGACTAAAATACGTAATTTTAAAAATATTTTATACGACCACGGCGGTCGTATGTCCAGGTTGTCATAAGTCGAGGAGTACTTGTAAAGTAATGTAAAAAATCTAGCTTTAATTACTAATTTTTGTGATGAATACAGGGGTATACAGTATTGGGAACCAGTTCATAAGTAAGGTGTTTGTAAGACGGGTGTTCATAACTCAGGGATACAGTTTAATAAAAAAATTTGAAATACCAAATCTTGAGAACTGATGTGGTCCCCCCTCCCCTGGTCAGTGCTCAGTCCATGTGCTGACAAAAGACAACTCATATTACCTTTGCTCTGATTGTTGTTTCGCACCTCAGTACTAACAATACCTTTCAAAAAATAATAAACGGATTGCCCAGCATTGTGTAATGTAAAACATAGATGAATTACTTTGACAACGAAGAAGAAAGAGGAGCTATTACTTCGTGGAGAAGCATGCAAAACTCCCGACCCATCCCTGTTAAAATGTTACTTAGTCACCGCTTCATTAATTCAAATAAATTTTTACCTCTGTTCAAGTTAAACACACTCCAACTATTCTATACAATATATTTATAATTTAAAGTAGCTCGGAAAGCATAGAATGTGCAAGCTAAGACAGGCATGTGGAAACAATGAAGGTCAGCCAAGACAAGGGCCGTCAAGACCCGCTATACTGAACACGTGCTCCCTACATGTTCTTTTACCTTAAGGTTAAACACAGATCAGTTTTTGCAATTACTTGATACATATACTGTATAATACAAAGCAGCACAGCAGACTAGAAGCATGCATAGTACAGTATACAACCATGCTGATGTATGATGAATGATATGAAACATACAGTACTGTAGGTTAATATGCAGTTGCTTAAATGCCCACCACATTAACTAGCATACTTGAGACACTATTTACTTCCATACTGTACTTGAGTTTACATTCAATAGCCATTATAAATAAGTCTGTCGTAATTGTTGGACAGTCGTGTCTTGCCCATCACTGTGATGTTGCCAACTGTCAGGAATGGTCAGGGGTGGGACATTACTCCTGATGTAACTAAACTTGCTGTCATAACCATTGAAATTTATTATTGAACGTTCTTTCAGCAATATGATTCTAACTGTATGTAAATTCATAAAAAATAGAAACTAAAAATAATACCTGTATGCTAAAACAGGAGATTAAAAATCATAGCCATATACAATGTGGGATCGATTTTGTTCACCAATTTTGATGTTATTCGCCAGGAATTTCAGCTAGAATTAAAAGTTCCTCCTGGTTTTGGGAGGAACATTGTAACCTTCAAAAGTCATCTTTTAAGACAATATATACGGTAATTAGTGTTCTAGTTTTATTTTAAGGCTCACATATTGTCTCTGCAAAATTTACTCTCACATTACTTGCTCAAAGATTATATGCAAAATAAAATAAAATTGGAGTTTACTTTTCTATTTACACAAATTCTTGGGAATTTGTTTTGTAAGCAAGTATGCTTGGTCTAATCCATTGTGATTTACATAAAAAAATTTTTCCATCAGACATAATGTCTAATGTACTGTATAAAGTACAGTACATTCTACTAGTAAGAGCACTTCTCAAAACCTATGTCCAGTTGTCAGCAAAAGTCCTCCCACAGCCCTGGTGGAAGAATTTTTGCTGGCTACTGTACGGTCTAGACAAGAATATGATAACTGAACTTGTACGCAGGAATTTCATCTGGTCTGTAGGCGTGATTACAATCTTTACAGTTTTTTGGCGAGACATGCGCTAATTCTCACCTAACAAAGACTTGAAGTTTATATGAATGAAAAAAGTACAAATTTCATTTTCTGCACAAAATTGTATAAAATAAAAACATAAAAATGACATGAGAAGAGGTAAGTAAGGGAGTGTCACATGTCCAAAACCTTACCTGGCTCAGTATCCATTGCACAGGAGAGGCATTCTGAGGGATGGGGTACATGACACGCATTTACAACCGAGGGCAATGCCACCACGGCACCATACAAGAAGGCACTGCAATCAAGGAAACCAATCATGCATACAAAAGACATGTGGCAAACAAGGGCCAGAGCAAACAGACCCACATATTTGTCTCATCAAGCACAGAAAATTAGTGACATATGAGCAGCAAGATTTTAGCAAGCATAAGCATGGTCAAGCACATTATTAACAAGTGTAAATCAAGCAAGGAAAGGTATAACTGAGAAAGACAGGAGAGACAGAACATATTACTATGTTGGAAAAAAAAGGAACAAGAAAAACATACAGTAATTACAATGGACAGTCTGCTTCTGCACAAGTGCTGATTACAGCAAATGACTAGTCAAGGATTATATATTATTAGTTCACATAACCACAAGCTAATCATACAAGCCTCGGTCATAGAGACTGGAATGCCATGTACAGTATTCCATTCTGTAGGAACATCACCGCAGTGTATAAATTGTAATATTCTGATGATGGAAAGGATCTCGTGAAATGATGATGCAGTAGAAATAATTCTATGAAGCAGTAAAAAAGAAAGTCACCCTCAAATTACAGGAACAAAGAAGATGACGGAAAGTTAAATAAAATATGAAGTGCAGTATGGTATGCTATATGCTGTACCTGTGTACTGTACACTAAACTTGATACAAAAGTGGCCTCTACAAAGAGTACAAAATTTGAGCTAATGACAATTTGACACACACAGTAAGCTACACCTAAACCAGTACCTTTGTCTGTCCTCCACTAACTGCATCACTCTCCAAACTAACAGGAACCTATGTCATTTTTTCTTGCAAGGTCAACTGTATCAGAGGCTGGATTTTATCAGGCAGAAAGTTCAAAGATCAATCGTCTGGAATGAGAGGGAGATTACCTTGAGGAAAGTAGATGGATTAGAATACCGGTAGGCTACAAGGTCCCTCCTCTATATGTGTGAGATGGAGAGGTCAGTGGGTGAGACAGAGGCTGGG